GCGATCGCAACCCCTCCGTTCGACCCTTGTTTTCATTCAAATTCCCCGAGAACGGTACAAGGCTGTAAACCCCTTTATTTTTATATGTGTGTGATATATGTGTTCGTCCAATTGCTGTGAAAATTGAACTATATGACCCTCTGATAGTTATATGTGGTGTAAAAATTTCAAGTCGAAATGATGTCTGTAGCTAGGTCAAATGTCGATTTGAAATTCTGGGTAGAAACTTTGAAAAATAATTAAAAGTCGAATTCTTGGTGTTTTGCTGTGATTTTTGGTGAGTGTTAGTAATCTGATGTTGTATGTGTTGTGTTCAAATTTCGTTGAAAAATTCAAAGGATTGCCCGGTGAACTAGAAATTTCAATTTTTCATCGTCTTTTTGTAAGAATTGGTTGCTCAAGTTAAACTGAAGTGTTGGGTCTGAAACTTTGTGAAAATATGCCTTTCTGGGTCTATTTTATTGTGTAAAAATTTTAAGTAAATTGGTCGAGTACTTTTCAAAATCAGTCGGTCCTATTTGAAACCCTGTCTGTCTGCGGGCCCTGTGCACTGCTGCCAGCGTGATACGGAAGTGGCTAGGCAGCTCAAGAACGCAGCGAGTCGAGCCTACCATGCACGCAAAATGCAAGCACGGGCGGCAGAAGTGCGTGCACTGGAGTGTAGTGCGCGCAGGGCAAGCAAAAATGGTGCATGCGCAGATGCGCGAGCGGTGGGCACAACAATGACACGGACGATGGGTGACGACGCGCGTAGCGCGGTCTTGACGAGCGTGCGCGGAAAGGTTGCGCGTGGGGGAGGCACGCGCAACGGACGAGGCCTCATGCCTTGAGGCATGCGGAAAGGCGGAACAACACGCGCGCGGAGGAGCAGCTGGGAGCGAAGGCGTGCGCAACACGCCTGATGGGGAAGGACGCGCGGGGCGCGTGATACGGAAGTGGTCATCAACCCAGGCGAGTCAGAGGATGAGGATGGCGACGATCTCAACATATTGTTGCACAACATGCAAGAGGAGCCATCAAGTCCAATATATCGACCTTCTTGTGTACGAGATTGGCCAAAAGGATGTGGTCCGAAGTTAAAGGTGAAGGCTCGAAAACGCAAGGCCAAGCAAGCCTGAAGGAAATGCAAGGCAAAGGCTAAAGAAGGGAAGTGTTGGTGCAAGCCTTGTGCGAGAAAGAGACGAGTTTGGTTAATGGAAGCTCGAAGGCGTGGTAGGCAGAGAATGGAAGATGGTTGGATATGGCGTGCTGGAGATTGTATTGGGTTGGAAGGTTAGGACCCATGGCCATCGGGCGAGCCAATGGAGTCGAGCGACAAAGGGGTCGAGGAAGATCGGCTATCGGGCGTATAGCGGCGCATCGTGCCATGATG